CTTGGGAAAAGGAGAAGTCCATCTGTGGCAGATCGGTACTATGAGATGAGATTCAGTTACGACATCAAGTGAATCCTTTATGGGTTATCAAAGTACTAGGGGTTAAATTTTCACTTCAAAAGTTTCAAGAAACTTTGGATAATATCATTTTTGAGGAAAGTTTGAAATAGTTATTTACACCATAAAAGAGGTAAGTATTATTCACCAGTTGAGGACGATATTGCGCCCGAGCGGAGCGATTGCTGGCAATAGAGTCCAAGACTGGTACATTATACTTAACTGCTGCGTGGTGTATAACATTTTATCTGCATCGACAGTTCTTTTAGTCCAATTAACTAAGCCTTTAAATCGAAATTTTGCCAACTTGGCTGAATTTTTGATATGAGTTAGTTTAAGGTATATTATAACAATAAGTGAGAGTAATTTTTTGTTCAACCCCCGGCCAAGGGTGGAAAAAGATAAAACAAAGGGCTTTTTCAAGATAACTCAAAAAGGGTAAGAGCTAGAAAAAAAAGTTTTTCATGAAAGTTGTAAAGCAGACAATTCTACATAAAAATGGTCTCTTAGCTTTTTCTTGTACTATTAAAATTAACAGAGTTAGGGAGGCTAGAAGTTAAGGGAAGATTTCAGAAATTTAATTTTGTTAAATCATTAAAATTAACGATTAAAAATTTGATTTTTTGTTATAACTTTCTTATTAAAAATTAAAAAATATATCTATTTCTCTGAAAAGAAAAGTTACATATTTTAGAGCAGATTGAAAAAAAAAATTACAAAATTCAATCATTTTTCTGTTTGTTATGATTTTTTTTAAATTTCTGAAATCTTCCCTTAACTTCTAGCCTCCCTAACTCTGTTAATTGTAATAGTACAAGAAAAAGTTAAGAGGCCATTTTTATGTAGAATTGTCTGCTTTACAACTTTCATGAAAAACTTTTTTTTCTAGCTCTTACCCTTTTTGAGTTATCTTGAAAAAGCCCTTTGTTTTATCTTTTTCCACCCTTGGCCGGGGGTTGAACAAAAAATTACTCTCACTTATTGTTATAATATACCTTAAACTAACTCATATCAAATATTCAGCCAAGTTAACAAAATTTCGATTTAATTGGACTATTTGGTTCATGAAATAAAGATTAGGTTTTATTTTTTGACATTTCTTAATCAAATCATTTTGACATTGTTCGAAATCTTGTAAAGTCGCCTTGGTTGTTTGGATTTTGTCGTTTCTAAGGTGTTTATAAACAAAGCTACATAAAAGTTGCAATTTTGGTGATTTTGAATTATTATTTCTAAATGAGTGATTTTCAAATAGAAAAAATGCAAATTTTTATTGCCCGAGATGTCGAAAGTGCGCTACGGACAAGCATATAGAAATTTCAAAGAATGGTACCAGAACAAAAATACTGGTGTTTCTGAAATGTCACTGCTAACATATTTCATGGAGAAGTCAAGAACTTTAAAGTCATCGGTGAGTTTGTGAAGTGAATACTCAATGATTAAGTCAACTATTTTCATAGAGGAGAATGTGGATATATCAAAATACCCCAAGTTGAGCATTTTTGAAACGTTAGAATGACGGCTATACACTTAAAAAGTCAAACGTTTTTACAAGAGAACAAGTCAACGATTTTCTCGTTCAGGCACCCGATAATACATATTTGTTAATGAAGGTAGTGACGGTCTTAGACATTGCAGGAGCATGCCGATCTGATGAGTTATGCAAACTTACTTTGGCCAACGTCAATTTCAAAAATTTCAATGACATTGTTGTAGTCATTCCAGATTCTAAAAATGGTATGTAACGTTTAAAATTACTTCTCGTCTGGGTTCTGTTTCTCACCTAGAAATTCTCAAGAAATATATCAAGATTAGATTGGAAATTAAAATTGAAATTTCACGCTTTTTTATGCGTTATCAAGCAGGTAGATGTTGCAACCAACCAGTCGGCAAAAATACCCTTTCTATGATTCCTAATATGATTTCACAGTTTTTGAAACTAGAACATCCTGAGACATATACAGACCATTCATTCCGAAGAATATCGGCAACGTTACTGGCTACTACAGGAATTGATACAGCAATCAATTCATGATTGAATGAATACAGCAAGAGACATGGTGGGTGGAAATCAGTCACAATCGCAGAAAGTTATGTTGACAGTTTAAGTAACAAAATGAAATAGCCAACAGGATTCTTTACAATGACACTTCAACTCCAAGTTCTAGTAGCACATCGCATCATGCTGTTTTAAGGATCAGTCAGATAATATTGAGCCTCCGGTGACTGAAATGGAGCGGTCAAATTATTTTGAGAAAAATGTGACAATTAGTAAACGCGAGGGGAATAATTATCGAGATTTTATAAATGTTACTAAATGTAATAACTCTACAATTACTATAAATATTCATTCATAATAATTAATAATATGTAATGTTCATCAAATATTTATTATTTGTTTATAAAATATGCATTTATAACTCGAAATCGCTTTTTTCCTTAGGGAGGTAAGTTACCTCACTTACCTCCCGTTATCGATAGCAACTTCCACTTCAACGGTAAAATCCACTTACCTCCTTAAAAACAATGTATCAATAATCTATTTAGTATAGTGGGAGCAGATAAACTGTATTTTTAACTTTGTTACGAGTATTTTCGTTTATAAATTGTTAATAATAAATAACTATTTTCGATAATAGCAATATAACATTAAATTAGCAGGACTTAAATAAATTATTAGTTAAACAAGCTATAACATTTGATTATGCCTCAGGGCATAATGTGTATGTTTATGGTAACTGATCCAAGGCGAAATAAAAAATAATAGAGAAATCAAAACACCTTTCATCCTGCGTGTTCTTCGGTCGAAAATTTGCATAGTCATGTATTATTTTTAGCGGGTCAATACCGTGTTCACTTGTTCAATATTACTAGCAATGACAAAAATTCGTTGTATTTTATTTTTGGATTCCAGTGATGTTCAATGTCGCTTACTTTAATATTACTTTAAGAATAAATTTTTTAATCTCTTCTTTTATAAGTATTTTAAATTTCTTAGGTTGAAAACCGCCATTTTTTCTTTTAAAAATCGTCCTTTGTTACTTAAAACTGTTGATTTCAGAATTGAATATTCGAATCATAGGCATGTAGGTGAATTCAAAAAATGATTATTCGATATCCACAATACCATTACAGGAGATGAAACTTAAATGTGACATTTCATTGCTGAGAATAAACAACAATAAGTTGGAATCATTCATACTGTCTTAGCCCATTATCTTCATTGTTCCTTCTAGCGTCTCGCTCGTGGCCTCTTTCAATTTTTGCTCTCTGATGTCTAGAGACTGTAACTTAGGTACTTGCTTCTTTGCTTGACATTTTTTATGTCCTTTCACTGTCTTTGCTTTTGAGTCAACATGCACATTTGTATGGGTCACACGGTCGTAGGACTAGTAAAGTCTTAACGATTTGATGGCTACATTTTAGACCAGGCAAGTTAGACAATAAATCAGCATTTTTTTTCTGATGAACCGATCGAGTTGCGGTTTTCGGCATTGTCTTCGGAAAAATATCAGGAAAAAAGTCTATATATTACACTTTGGGGCTGGATCGAAACTGCATTGCGGGTGCATAAAGTGCATCTTGGAGTGCATCAATTTTTCCGAATTTTCTAAAAATGGTAAAAATTGACTAAAAGTTGTAGAAATTAGGTTTTCGGGGTCGGAGATTCCGAATCTGACCCTGAAAAATATGCCCGAAGGCCCTGGGGCTCTCCAGTGGGGCAAGGGGGAGCCTTCTGTAAAACATCGAATAGCTGAGTAATTGCCTTCTAAATCCCCACTCGG